AAAAAAAAAAAAAAAAAACTAAAACAAAATGTTTAGAAAATGCAGTTCATTCTATCTCATTTTATTTTTCTCCCTAATCCCATCAACACAATTCCAATAATGAATTTATCATTTTTCTCCACTTTCCATCCCTATTGTTCGGACGACACAATTTTCTAAATTTTCTTTTTTCAGTTGTCACCTTAGTCACTTCATAAAATTTAAATTTAACTGGGGTTATACATACAAGATTTGCCATCATCTCCCAATCACTACCCAAAACATATAAGTGAGAAGGTTATAATTTAGGCTGTCAATTGGATTATCACTTGCCAAACACAACATTTTAATTTTTAAGGTTTACAAACCAAAAGTGGGTACAAGAATCTATAATCCTTATGTGTAAGTTGCAGCAATGAGCATTGACCCAGAAGATAAGAGAGAAAGTAATCCATTCAAAGCATGTTTGTGTTGGAACCCATAACAAAAATAGAAAAGAAAAAGCAAGAAATCATCACAGCATAAATTCTTCCATAAAAGTAAACAAAGATTAAGGGCAATACAGTCTAGTTAACATAATAGTTAATCCATCAGAATGCAGGATGCTCAAAGTCATAAATTAACAAACCTAACTGTCAAAAAACTTCACTTCAAAAACTGTTTCCCATCAGAAAGGCAGCATCCTGAAAGGACAAAACCAGTATAAGCCAAACTATGAGTTTTGAAAAATAATGACCAGGTAACAAAAATTAGAAAAATTGCAACTCAAGTAATTACCAGAGCTGGATTTCCACTATCAGCATCTAACAGGCTCAGGGCTTGCTTCAACGGCCAGCCATGCTCATTTTCCTACTCCTGCTTCCACCTTCATTCATCTTACGGCCAGCATTATTTCTGTAATGCAATTACAACAATGACGATAGCAGCTTGCATAAAATGTCGACACATAATTAGGTAAGTACTCACCTCTGATGCCTTTTGTTTTGCAACTTGATTCTTTTGACTATATCCATAGCCATATTCTGGTGTTCCCTCGTCTGCGAATGCAAGTCCAACCCTTCCAGTGATTGACAGTCAATCTCACAGATTCGACACCACCCACAGCTTATAGGCTTCCTCTTCCTAGAGTGGTCAAACGAATCCATGCCACCCTGTAAAAAGTACAAGCAAATAAGGTATTTGGAATTCTGACATGCACGAGGATAAAAATTTGGCATACCACCTAATAAATCATAAATGAGAAACTGAGACAGAGCCCCATATAAATAAAAAGGGTCTTTCGAAAATGTTAAGTTGCATACTGTAAAACTTCCACCACCATGGAACCCAGAATAGTTGTTCATCATGGGAGGCTCGCCAAAATGAGAAAAGTTCGGACTGCCACCTCTAACAGATTCATTGAAAGGAAGACGGGGAAAATTCCCAGGACCACCAAACTCTCCTGCATGTCCACGACCAGAAAATGCACCAGGTCCAGCAGGATCATTCATATGGAAGTGTCCAGGCGCCACATGCTCACCAAACCTAGGATTTCTTGGGCCATCAAGGTCCCCTCTTCGCATTGGACCAGACATGGGCGGCATTCGACCATCATGAAATGGAATACCAGCTGGATCAGAAGGATGGTTGAAAGGTTGGGATCCCTCACCAAACCTGCGTGCTTCCCTAAATTTGGTATCATCAAAACCTGAGGTACCGCGAGGGAAACTGGAGCGGCCACCAAATCCATGTGGAGAAGAGCCACGATAATTTCTATGAGGACTTCCACGAGAAAAATGATTCATGCGATGGTCAAATTCATGGCTTGGTCCAAAAACATCTGCATGGCCATGGACGCCAGATGGACGATGTGGGTGACCAAAATTTGGCACAGCATCATACATTGGTCCACGGGGTGCTGTTTTATCGAAAGACCTTGCAGCTGCATTTATGATTCACCATAAAAATAATCATAAATAAATCAGTTATGAATAGAAAGAAGGAAAGAAAGAAAAGGTAAAGAACAAGGAGGAACTTAGAATGGTTCCACTTGACATCACCTGGATCGACATTGTGCATTGGTTCCCTCGGAAATGGATTCAAAGGGTCTCTCGATAAAGCCTTCTGTTCATCCCTAGATCCAGAAATGGAGGGATCGGCAGCTGCATACCCATTCATTCTGAACGAACTTAACTCATCTGCACGAGTTTTAGAAAAAAAAGTCCTCTCACCAGCACCAGACAGGTGATCATTTGGAACTTCACTTGACCTACCCACATGTTGAGGGCCATAACCCTCCAAATGTAGAGGTGGAGCTCTTCCCATGATCCCTCGTTGATCAGTAAGTCCAGGTCCTTGTGAATCAGGCTGACGTTTAAAGTTATTAGGAGGGCCAAAATTACCAGACACCCTTTCTTCAGTCGAGAGAAGTGGACCTTGAGGCCTTTGCTGTTGGGAACCATGAGCATGAGGGGGTAATACATGCCCTTCAGCACCAGATGCAGGCAAAGCAGTGTGAGGTTGCTCAACCAAGTTGGTTGAGGATGGACCTGTCCCAACTTCATTTGCCGACATCGACTTTTGATTCTCAAGGTCCATTTGTTTCAACAAATCAGATTCTTTCCCCTCTTTCTTCAAGCCAACTTCTTCAGCTCCATCTTCAAAGGATTTCCCATCAGTTGCTTGCTCCACTGCACTCTGAACATGATTCTCATCTTCCTTAATAGACTTATTTACACCTGCATCTCTCTCCCTGTCCTTGACAACGACCCCATTTTGCCCAGCGACTACTTTTTCCTCATTCAGGGGCTCACCTACCTTTTCAACCACTACCTTCGACGCGGATATAGTTTCTTGGGTAGTAGCATTTGGCTCCAGCACAGTAGATTTTGCATAATTTTGATTTACAGGAGTCTGAGCTGAAGGGAGTTGAGCAGGTCCAGGGTGATTTGAGCCACCAACCTGATTGGATGGATAAGGATGGTTTTGAGAATGTATCCCCTGGTTTGGCATTAGTGGCCTCCCAACAAAATTTTGAGGCTGCGGGCCAGGAGGAGGACCTGATGGGTGCATCTGCATTTGCATGGACTGTTGTGGCATAAGATGTCCCGTCTGATGAGAAAACAAGGGCTGCTGCTGTTGAGTGTAATTCTGAGGCAGCGGCTGTACAGCTGGCTGCGTGAGAGGACGATGTTGGGGATAAGGTGGAAACTGGTGATTATGTGGTGCCAACATTGTTGGTGGATGTTGAGGCACTGATCCATGAATAGGTGGCTGCATCTGTGCATGTTGTTGCGGTATTTGACCATGTAATTGAATTGGATGTTGTGAACCACTTGCAGACTGTGGGTTCATCGGGGGTTGCTGCGGGACTCCTGTATGCATCTTTTGGGGAAGCTGAGGATTTATATAGGACTGGTGCCCACTAACAGGAGGAACTGGCTGATGAGGAGCCTGTGGCAGGGCAGCAGGAGCTGACTGGTTGTTGACTTGAGGGAAAACAGGAGGTTGAGGTTGGGACTGAGTAAGATAAGGTTGTGCTTGTGGTTGTGGTTGGATTTGACTAAGCAACTGGCTTGTAGATTGGGCCGGTTGAGTTAGGACTTGTGCTTGGGGTTGGGACTGCATTTGAGGTTGTTGTGAATGTGCTTGAGGAGGTTGAGGATAATGCATTTGCATTGGAGGAGGTTGCTGGTATTGATTATGTTGGGAAGTGGGCCGCAAACCAACAGTTTGATTCGGAGGCCCATATGGCTGTTGTGGGTGAGTGGGCTGAGTCTGAGGAGGTGGTGGTGGTAGTGTCTGCGGGGGAATCTGAGTGTGGGGCCGAAATTGAGGATGAGTTTGTTGCTGCGGATTGGTTTGATAGTTCGGTACGGAAGTTTGATTCGGAGGCGCATATAACTGGGCCTGGGCTTGGGCCTGGCCTTGAGATTGAAGTGCCACATTGGGCTGAGCTTGAGGAAGTGTATGAGCTTGGGCTTGGGCTTGGGCTTGGGCTTGGGCTTGTGCTTGGGCTTGTGGGGTATAAGGCTGTTGTGGGGCCTGAGGAACAGGATATGACTGTTGCTGGGGCTGAGTGTATACATGAGATTGGTATTGACCATGAACTTGAGCCGGATGCTGCTGGTACTGCTGAACGGGCTGTTGCTGAAGAGAATAATACTGCTGATTGGGCTGTTGATAGGGGTCATATCCCGCAGCATACTGCTGATAATACTGCTGATATTGTTGTTGATACCACTGCTCGTGTGTAGGCACAGCAGCAACAGGAGCAACAGCTGGGGACTGAAAGGCAGCACTTCCCTGAGGCTGAACGTTGTTTTGCCCAGGTAAAGGAGTAGCAGCAGGGGCATTTTGGGGATTCTGGGCCTGGGAAACTGGAGGTCCAGATTGAACAGCAGCCTGATGATTCACATCAGCAGTAGACGAGATTGTTCCAGACTTAGCAACGGACGAAACATCCCCAGCTGCTTGTTGCCCTTCGTGTGTACCCTGAGATTCAAATTTCAAATATCTAAGAAAAAAGATTACATTTTTTTTGGTTCATCTCTTCGATATAAAAAGTAAGACATTTGATTCACTCACAAGACAACTCTTAGCATGATCGTGTACTTGGCGATGCACGATTTGGATACCACATCTGTTGCATATTACAGGCGAGTTTCCAAACGTACAGCCAGAACAATGGGCAGTGCAGTCAGAAAGAGGCCCTTCCCATGGGCATCCACTCCGGAAGTAGAGACATCGCACCTTAACTTTGCCGATATTTTCAGCTAGTGCTTTATCGGAATCCATTAATGGCTGTCAAAAAATGTTAGAGAAAAATCTGATAAATCAGACCTAAGTATTATTAAAGGCAGAACTACAACTATTCAATCGTACAACCTTAGAATCCGACTCAGTCACCATAAATTCATCATAAGGGCAGGTCTTACTGCCATTAGCAATGTATTCCAAGCACGGTTTGCAGTACAGGTGACGACATTGGGTCTGAAATGCTTCACTTGGATACACGAGTGTACGACAAACAGGACAGAAGTATTCCCCAGGATAAGTTTGAATGTTGATTATGCATTCTATATCGAAACCCATATCGTCTCAAGCATAAAAAGATGAATACGAAACACAACTGCTAGCTGCATCAGACAAATAGACCCGTTATACTGAGAAAATTATTAAGTAGAGATTTTTTGAATGATCGCACCAAATTCCAATAAATCCCAAGATTCACATATCTAAGACAAAATTCCAGAACGGTTCGACCACTAGGAACGAGATTCTAAATGTAGGTCCCACACACAGCACTTAGATCCTACAAAATGTCAAGATATATATCTTCCGAATTTTGTGAAGACAGTGAAGAAAGATAAGGATTTTAGTAAAGTGAATTTGTATCAAAGCAATGCTGCAAAATTTGATATAAATCATGCTCACTGGAGCCTACTTATGTTATACATATCTACCAAATGAATATTGCACCAATCCTTGCATCCATATAAAGATATGATGAATGATTATAGCCTTTGTGAAAAAACCCACAAAAAAGGGGGGAAATAAGAATGTTATATGGTTTCATAAACAGGCAAAATGCACTAGTTTTTAACAGCAAAAATGCAGAAAACAGATCCAACTTTCTTCATTTCAAAATCACAATTTCTCCCTATCTTATTCATTTATAGTTTTGTAACTTAATAAAGTAGCCCATCAACAAGCATCTCATCTTTTATCAATGAGCTCGGTTTATCTTCATTCAAGAACAACATTTTATGCTCATGCCCACATATACACTAATAAACGTTTATGTACACAAGTAAACTTCACCCAACTAACATGATTTCTCACTAAAAAAGCACAAATTCATATGTAATCACAGTGCATGCTGCACATGATTTATCTCGAAAGAAATTTTACTGACCACTTCTCTTCGATTGTAATCAAATCGACAAGAAACAAGATAGTTGCCCTAACTCCAGTAACTCACAGCCGATCGT